TAATAATTAAATTATAAATTATAATGATTATAAATTATTATAAATTAAAATTAATTTAAAAGTATGATAAGATTTTAGGTCAAAGGAAAAAATAGGTATAATCTTAAAGAAAAATAGATGCATTTGCTTATAAGAAAATATCCCTCTACAATAATGTGTCAAAAAATTAAGGAAACCAGGTCCCCTTCTTCTCTTGCTACCACCTGTCAAATATTTTGACAAATAATTTCACTGCACTATTGATTTTTGGTTGTTATGTTTGAATATTCTTGGTTCACAACCACGATTTGCTCAAAAATGATTTAGGAAGCATATTATAAATTAGTTGGGCTTAATATGTTTGAAATTAAAAAAAATTAAATAGCCTATCTATGAACATATTTCCTCATAATTAAATTAGAAACCTATTATTACTTTTCCCCAGTATCTTCATCCAACTTCCCTATACCAGCCCCTTTTAGGTAGAGGAAAAATAAGGAAATGAAGAGAAAAACTTTCCTGGGGAAAAGTTGCCAAGCAGCAAACACAACACTGCATGGATGATACTCTAGCGTTCGGACATGAAAGTCAACCGACCGTGGTCCCGAACGTTCCACGGCACTAACGCTGCTGGGGTACCAGGCGCTGGCCATGCTGTGCAAGGGCGTTCTCGGCACGTACCTGCAAGCTTTCTCCGTGGACAAACACCTGAGCCACGGGTTCACTTCGTACGTAGATATTTTCAATCTTTTCAGGTGCTATGTATTCTCCTTGCGCCAGCTTAAATATGTGTTTCTTCCTGTCGATGATCTTCAAGGTGCCGTTCTGTTGGTCAGAGGGGGTCAGATGTGGATCTGAATGAGCCCAGGGCTGGTTCCCACCCAGGATCAATCACAACTCATTACGAGAGACCTGAAATGCACTGTCGTTTAATCCTAACGACATCTCACAGAAGTCGGGCATCATCCCATTTTACAGAGGGGGAGGCCGAAGCTTAGAGAGATGAAGTAATTAGCCCAAGACCGTCCAGCCAGGTACAGAGGTGAGAAGGGGCTCCAGAGCCCACGCTCCTCTGCAGCGCCCCCTGGCACCAGGGACCACTCATTGGCTGGCAGTGCTTCGCTCACTTCCGCGACATTAACACACTTGTTTTGTTTCCTTCACGAGTTAAGAATGATATATCTGGCTCGCCAAGTGTCTTGAGAGCAAGGTCCCAGACTTCTCCTCCCATGGAGCTCTGCTCAGAGTCAGGGCTCAAGAAATCGTCACTACATGAGGGCAGACTTTCCGATTCCTTAGTCACCGTTTCAGAGCATGGTGCTGCGGGCCTGTGGGCAGGGAAAGGTGACAGCCTCACATAATAACTGTGAGAACGCCAGCTAGCAGCCCTGGGCAGGATGGCCCCGCACCAGTGGCCTGCCTCAACCCTGCTTCTCACCTGCCCCACCTGGGGCCGTTTTCATGTCTCTGAAAGTTGTATGTTGGGAAGTTTCTGGAGTTCTCTCAGTCCACACCAGTTCTCCATTTTTAAAGGGAGCAAACAGAGGCCCAGAGAGATGATGGATTATGATCATTAGAGCCAGATTTAGAATTAGAATTGATATTTATTCCCTCTTGAACCTGAAAAGTGGTACTTAATTTACTTCTAACATACTTGGGTATCATGAGATTAAATTAATTTGAGGGAATTTTTTTTTCTAATCAATAAAAATTGCAGAGTATTAGAGCCAGGTTGGTCTGAGACTCAACCAGGCAGTCAGCTATGTGGGACCCATCCGCCTGAACCACCCCACCATGGGCTGGCTCATAATTCAGTGCATTCACAACTTAGAAAAATCCACAGCAGACTAAACTGGTCAAATCTATGGGTAGGCTTGGTAGGGCTTCTTATACAAGTCGCTCACCCTTGGACCCTGGGATTTCTCTACAGTCAGAGGTTCTGAGAAAAGCGTCCTAGGAGTTGCTCTAATCTATGAAATGTCCCATTTCTAATAAGAGGAAAAACCTAAGAACACACAGATTTCCACATTCCTGCCCATCTTACATCCTTGCAGTCTACCATGATTTCCCCACACCCCAGCAGTGCCTGGCCCTGAGACTATAAAAAGCCGTGGTCTCTTTGGATTACAAACAAGCAACAACCAGAATTGGTGTGAGGCATGAAATATTTGCTAAAACCCCAGTGAAAATCCTGCACAAACAGAGTTGGGAGTGGAGCGGTTACATGACTTGGCAGACAGGGAGAGAAAACCAGGGACTGCGGCCCGAGGGCAGCTTAGAGCAGAAGGGACATTTTCTTCCCCACAGAAGATCGGTGTTTGTGAACAGGGAGGTGACAACTTACTGGTAGCCACTTCCCAATGTCCCCTGTGTGTAACCAGCCATCTTTATCCAGGGCTTCGGCTGTTTTTGCTGGGTCCTTCAAGTAGCCCTGAAAGACATTTGGCCCTTTCACGCACACCTAAAGAGAAAAAAGAACTTGCTGACAGCATCTGCCAGGGCTCCTGCAGGGAAGGTGTGTGTGCACGCACGTGTTATCTGTCCTAGTCTGTTGTCAGAATTCCATGATCCAGGGACCAGCAGTTAGCGTAATGGCTATGTCGCTGGACTCCCATGTAGTCGACTGCGGTTCGCGTCCCAGACCTGGTGGCTTAAAACTCACACTAGGCGCATGTGCGTGTGTGCCCAAGATCCTGAGAGGAGAATGGAGGAGAGGGGACTGTGGTCCCTTGGGGGGTGATTTCTCACTTTCTGTCTCTCTCTCTCTCTCTGTCTGGCAAGCACACCCGCCCTATAGCAAAACCACTCCAAAAAAAAAAAAAAGAATTCCGTGATCCAGAGGGAGTTATCAGGGCCCCATCTGGACCGTGGAGGCACCTCCAAAGCCCCTGCTTCCCTTCCTTAATGGCCTCAGCTGCCTCAAATTGCAGGGAAATGGTGGTCCTCGGTTCTGGCTCACAGCTGCTGGGAAGCCCCACAGGGGATGAGATCACTCCTAAGTAATTAGGCTCTCCATCCAGTAGCCAGTGGCTCACTAATAGGTATCTGGGGCAATTAGCAGACAGGAGATGCGCCCGAGGACTGAGGCCACTGGAGCCTTTGCTCATTCGTGGGTCTAACTCCCTGCCACGTCTGACAGAAGAAAGCAGGCATTGGTGACCTTCCTCCCCACCCCTCAGGAATTAAACACAAATGTACCTTTGAAGGAAGCCTGTCTGACCCCTACATCACTAATAAAGGCAAGCCCAGTGGCTCTACTATTGAGCAGTGCTGGGAAGGGGCGCTGCGGTCATAATGGCCAGCTACTCTAGGAAGTGGCGGGAGGGAAATGACTCCCGGGGCTTCACTCACCTCGCCCTCGCCCTTGGCAGCCATGTAATTCATTTCTTCCACATCAACAAGTTTTATAAAATTGCAAGGCATTGGCGCACCCACATGGCCTGTATATTAAATAAGCAAACGATCATTCCTAAGAGGACTATTAATATCCTCAGGGCAAATTATTTTTATAACAAGTGAGTCTCCCCATGAGAAGAAGAGTTGGTATAAATTTCTGGCTTCTGCAATTAAAGCCCTTCTCTCCCTCCAGGCCATTCTCCCTGGTGGTGATTTTTCATTTTTTCTCTCTCTCTGTTGAGTGCATGTGCCCTATAGCAAAAATTTTTCTTTAAAAAAAAAAAAGAATTAGGTTGTGTCTTCCAAGAACAAACCAGTAGACATTAGATATGTTTAAGAGCATTGCCAACATTTTCTCCTATGTTTTAATAATTTTGCACCTAGCTATCAGGCTGGCATATGGGCAGCATAGTCAGGACTTCCAGATGCAAACCCAGATTGTTAACACATGGGACAGAGTGTTGTTTTCCACTGAGCTACCATTAATGCCCCCCACGAGCCTCCCGCACACAGTACAGACGTCTCAGCATCCCTACTCTACACAAGAACGTGCAGCTTTAGCAAACCTCAAACACCACCTGGGCCTGATCAGTGCCACCTTTACTTTCTTAAGAATGGAAGGGTATGTCTTCTATTTAAGTTTAGGAAGAAAAGGCAATGTTTATTTTCATGGTTAACTCTCTTGTTAGAATTGGATTGTATTAACGGATCAGCAGAGGCTGTAACGGTTACGTCGTTGGTGGACTCCCATGTAGTTGACTATTGTTTGAGTCTCAGACTCAGAGGCTTAAACTTCATGCCAGGGGACTACCAGATGGCATAATAGTTTTACATCACTGGACTCCCAGATAGCCAACCGTGCGTCAAATCCCAGACTCACTGGCTTAAACTCACGCTGAACACATATGCGTGCATGCCCAAAATCCTGAGAAAAGGATAAAGGAGAAGGGATTGCAGTGTGGCTATCCCCCTTGGAGGGCGACTTCACACTTTCTCCCTGGAGAGCGCATGCGCCCTACAGCAAAAACTTCCCAAAACAAAAACAAAAACAAAACCCCACACCTGGCACATGGGCTTGCATGCCCAAGATGCCGAGAGTGGAATGGAGGAGAAGGGATTGTGTGGCCATCCCCCCTGGGAGGTGATTTCTTGTTTTCTATCTCTCTGTCTCCCTGGTGAATGCACGTGCCCTATAGCGAAAAATTTTTCTTATTAAAGAAAAAAAAAAAAAGAATCGGGTTGTCTCTTCCAAGAACAAAAACAGCAGACATGAGACATGTTTAAGAGCACTGCCAATATTTTCTCCTGGGCTTTAATAATTTAGCTTCTAGATATCAGTATTCCAAATTCTCTGGCTGGTAAAGACCGTGGGTTGGAAGCTAAACCATTAGGCTCAGCCATGGTTGCATCTGCAGTAGGGAGCCACGACCCAGCACTGGAGCCATATGGGAGGCCCGGGTACAGAACCTGGCTCACCCCGAACGTGCTGGGCGTGTCTATGCATGCCTGTGATTCTGGCTGGCTAGAAGGCTGGGGGGAGGACTGAGGCATGGAAAGACACTGTTATGTGAAATAAATACATTAACAAAAACTAAAAACATCATGAAGAAGATTCATACACTGGTGCTGTCAACCCCACTAGAACGAATGTACTAGCATGGTGCTAGAATCTATGTGACTAAACTATTGAATTAATATAATTCAATAAAGAAGCCAAGGAAGTTTCCTTATCACGGCATAGCATAGGATCTTGTCTACCACCGAAGTGGCACAGCGGAAAACACAGAAGTCTCGCAGTCAGGCCCAGGCTGGAACGCTGGCTCCCAGCTCAGTGCTGTGGAAATTCTTACACGTGATTTACATGCTGTTTAAGCAAGTCTCTAGTGTCCTTATCCACGACGGGTGCTCAATGGATTCTTTTCTGTGTCTGTCCTTCCCCTTTACCCTTCTGAGAAGAGACTGGAGTTTATTCCTATCTGGAGTCCCAACACCACAGCACACGGTAAAAATTTAATAACTATTTGTGGATTAAAACTATCTGGAAATATGGGACCAGCAGTTGGTGTAATGGCTATGTCGTTGGACTCCCATGTAGTCGACCATGGTTCAAATCCCAGACCCGGTGGCTTAAACTCACGTTGGGGGTGTGTGCGTGCCCAAGATCCCAAAAGGAGAATGGAGGAGAAGGGATTGTGGTGTGGCCATAAACCCGGGAGGTGATTTCTTGCTTCTTGTCTCTCTGTCTTTCTGGTGAGCACATGTGTCCTACAGCAAAAACCTCTCCCCCCAAAAAAACCCCCCAAAAAACCCCCAAAAACCAAGAAACAAAAAACAAACAAACAAACAAACAAAAAAAAAACAACTATCTGGAAATAATGAGATCCTGATTACTAGAATGCTCTGTTGGGCCACACAGTTTGGGTCTGGAATAAAGGGCATCCCCTCTCAGAGGCTGCCTTTAGGATGCAAGCAAACTTCAACTGACACCAGCTTTATGGTCAGATCCCCACAATTCCATCAAAATCAGCCACAAGGGGCAACATCCCACTCCCTATTGTATACAGCTCCTTGCCCTGAGATGTAATTATACGAGACATGCATGTCTTTCTGTGGGGTAATGAACTCATCAACGATTAACCCAATTCCAATCACTCCAATAACCAATCTGAACAGTAAGACTCCACAAAGGCCTCCCCGCTGATCGTACCTGCCGTCCAGTCTCCAGGCACAGTGAGGCAGCACCCGGCAGTGCACTCGGTCTGTCCATAGCCTTCATAGAACTGGGTCACCAAGAGATGAAACGTTACCACGAGGGGGAAGTCACACCTTTGCTGGAAGTGTGCAACTAAGCTCCGCCGACTCCTGAGTAAGGGCTACGGTGAGACCCTTTTCAAACACCATCGTTCAACATGCTTTACGATGGCACCCAGACGTTTCCACCCCCAACACCGTATGCCAGCCATTGTCCAGGCTCAAATCGACCTAATTACTTAGGAACAAGCGAGAGAGAGCACCCCAGGAGAGGCCATTAACCACCTGCTTTGTCAGTTCACGGGTGTACCCCGCATGCGCCCTGTCTGTCACCGACTATCCTGTGTGTCCTGGTCAATGGGTTCTGTGCCCGGGTTTGCCGTAGGTTTATCACTTATGGCCCATTTTCACACCTGCATGCCTGATTCAAGAGGGGTATGCTGTGCCTCACGTTAGAGAAAACTACACAAATGGTGGACAAAAACATATCCCCTGGGTAAAAAATACATATGCTCATCTCTCCAAGCAACCTAGTAATAACATATCTTCCATACAAAAAAAGGGGTACACGTGCAAAGTAGGGGTGGAGGGAAGAACTAGGAATATGTTGGCCAAAGGACCAACAGGACCTTCAATTAAGAGGGAGGTTCAAGGGGTCTATTTAGAATAGGGAGACTACAGATAACAATGACATACTACATGTTTGACGATTGCTAACCAAGGGGATTTTAGGTGTTTTCATCACTAAGAAAAGAAGAATGTGAGCCACAGGTTAATTAACTTGATCTAGCTATTCCACAATGGAGACTTCTATGAAGATAGGTCATACACCATAAGTACGTACAATTTTTATGTGTCAATTAAAAAAAAAAAGACATGGAGGGGCTGGCAGGCGGTGTGGTGGTGGAAGGTGCTGGATTCCCACATGGTTGACCGTGGATCGAGTCCCGGACCTGGTGCTTGCTTTCTTGCTCCCCCGCACTCCCCCCCCATCTCTGTCTGGTCAAATTAAAAAATAATAACAACAAATTGAATTAAATAAATAAATAATTCTTTTTTTTTTAAAGAAGACATGAAACTGGAATAGACATGGCTTTTGGTAAAGCCGGGGGTAACCAGGCGACACACAGCCCACCTCACCTGACAGCCGAGGGCTGCTCTCAGGAACGTCAGCACGGTGGCAGACACGGGTGCTGCTCCTGTGATCATCAACCGGACTTTCCCGCCCAGGCTTGACTTGTGAGGAAGGGAGAGAGGGAGAAAGCAGGGGTTCAGAAGTGGAAGTCAGTAGCCTCCTCAGGCAGGAGGGTTGTCTGGGACCCCTGCACCCTAATCCACTAGCTTCTCTGCACACTGCGCAGAATGCACATTCCGGACGACACGCAGACAAGCCATGGGTGTTCAAGGCAGAAACGTGGGACTTGAGCTTGCTTCTCCCTGTGACCACCCATGCATTCTCGACAGGTAGACGAGTACACCAACGCCTCTGCTCACACGTATTGTAGGAATTTAGAACAAGAGTACAGTGGATCTGTGGCAACTACCACAATTTTGGCATTTTGGGAGAACGTATTATTGGGCATTCTTTGTAACTTATGCTTAAAAATTAACTCGGGAAAGACATAGTTGCTCCAGAAAAGCTACACAAAATAGAGAATTAGAAAAACTATAGTACTGGGGACTAGCAGGTGGTGTGGTGGTTAAGGTGCTGGACTCCCACATGGCCAACCATGGTTCGAGTTCTGGACCTGGTGGCTTACTTTCTCACTTTCCTCTTCCTTTCTCTCTGTGTCTCTCTGGTCAAATTAAAATAAATGAATGAATGAATAAATACAATTGAATAAAATAACTTTTTTTTTTTGGAGAGGTTTTTGCTATAGGGCATGTGCGCTCGCCAGACAGAGAGAGACAGAGAGACAGAAAGTGAGAAATCACCCCCCCAGGGGGGATGGCCACACCAGAATATCTTCTCCTCCATTCTCCTCGTGGGATCTTGGGCACCCACGCACACGCACCCGGTGTAAGTTTAAGCCACCGGGTCTGGGACTCTACCCACGGTCGACTATGTGGGAGTCCAGCGACATAGCCATTACACTAACTGCTGGTCCCCAATAAAATGACTCTTAAAAAATAAAAAAAGAAAGACTATAATATGCTGAACCCTTCCCTCCCTAGGTAGGTAAAATATTCTTCAGATTGATCTTGGAGACTGAGGTTCACCTAATGGCTTTGTCCTTCCTTTTTAGCTATGTGCCAGAATTAATCTGTTAACCAATTTGTTAATATATACATCATTCTTTATCTTTCTCCAAATAGAAAAGCCTTCATAGAAATGTCAAAGCCCCCGTTTGTTCACATGAGAAGAAGTGCCCATGAGCCTGTCTGTTACCTGGATTTTGTGGAAGATCAGCTTGTCCCACAGGCTGTTGTTCCGGATGATGCCGCTGCGAAGTTCAGCTTCTTTCCTCTTGGAGGCGAAGTCCAACAGCCATCGCTTCACTGTGGTGTTTGCTTGTCCAAAAATCTAATGGGGCAAGACATAAGGTTTCACCCCGACTAGGACAGCGGGTGAGGATGTGGAGAAGGTGGCAATGCGAGACGGTGCGGCCATTCTGGAGGATGGCCTGGCAGTTCCTCTCAGTTAAGTACAGAGTTATCACATAACCCAGCAATTTCACCCTCGGATAGATACCCAGGCGAAATTAAAATGAAATTAAACCCTGTCCACACAGAAACCTGTCTTGAACAAATGTTCACAGCACTATTATTCATAAGAGTCAAGAGCTGGGAACAACTCAAATGCCCATCCATGAGGTAATGGACAAATCAAATGTGTCGTATCTACGCAGTGGAATGTCCTTTGGCCATTAAAGGAACGAAACATTGCTATGTGCAACATGAATGAACTTTGAAAAATGCTAATCAAAGAACATATACTGCATGATTCCATTCACACGAAACCCAGCACAGAGACATTTACATATTTATAAACTAGATCAGCGGTTGCCTAGAGGTGGAGGGAATAGGAAGGATGGGGATGATAGTAAAGAGTAAGTACAGGGTTTTTGTGTTTTGAGGGGATGAAAATGTAAAATCATTGGTGATGGTGATAGAACTCTGTGAGAGACTAAAATCTTTGACTTGTACTTTTTGGGTGAATTATACCACATGTGGATGATGATGGTACTTCAAAAAGTTCATGGAGGGCCGATGGGTGATGTGGTAAGGAAGGCACTGGATTCCACATGGAAGGCACTGGATTCCACATGTGAGGTTCAAGTCTCGGATCTGGTGGCTTGAAAAGCACATGGGGTAGGGGGGTGTGGAGGAGCAGCAGGTGGCGTGGTGGTTAAGGCACTGAATTTCCATATGGCTGACCACAGTTTGAGTCCTAGACCCGGCAAAAATCACATTGGACACGTGTGCATGCATACCCAAAATCACAAGAAGAAAATGGAGAAGGGATTGCAGCTTGGCCACCCCCACCAGGGGGTGTGATTTCTCACTTCCCCTCTCTCCTCCCTCCTCTCTCTTTCTCTCTCCAGTGAGTGCATGTATCTCTGGCAAAAACCTAAAAAGGAAATGAAAAGAAAAACACATTGGGCACATGTGTGTGCATGCCTAAAATCCTAAGAGGAAAATGGAAGAGAAGGGATTGCAGTGTGGCTATTCCTCAGGAGGGTGATCTCTCAATTCTTTCTCTCTCTCCCATGAACACACACACCCGATTGCAGAAAACACTAAAAATATAAAAAGTTCATGGAAAAATAGAATTAAAGTTGGGAAGTGGTGAGACCTTTAAGAGGTGAGGCCTAGTGCCTGGTGCTTTCGTCATGAAGGCATCAACACTCATGAATGGATTAGTGCTATCTTGTTAGACACAGTGAGTCTTCACTCTCATGAAGAGTTAGTTCCCATGAAAGTGGGTTGTTTAAAAGAAAGATGGCTGCCCTGGTTTTTCTCTCTGCATGTACCCACTATCCACTCTGCCTCTGTGGGCCATGCTGTTATGTAGGAACAGAGGCCAGCCTGATGCTGGCCCTATGCCCATGGACTTTCCAGCCACCAGAATCATGAGTCAAATAAACCTTTATTATTTATAAATTACCTAGTCTCAGGTATTTCTGTTAGCAACCCAATAGCAGGTTAATATCCTTTGTCCATCTCAATAAAACTGTTCTAATTCTTTTTAGACAGGATATTGGTAGGTTACTCATACCAGCCTAGAACTTGCAATCTTCCTGCCTTAAGCCTCTCCAAGTAGCTGGGGTTAGAGGCATTTCAGTTGGACCAGGAACTGAGTCTGGGCCTCCCATATGGTCCTGGCCTATGGAACACAGCATTAGGCAGTGTGAGCCACCACAGCTGGGTTATGTTTAAGAAATTTAAAGCACAGCATCTTTGTAGCACAAACTACCATGACTACGCTATATTTCTAAAACTTTTTTTAAAAGTTCCCAGAGATTAAAGAAGCCCTGCCTGGGAACCAGCAGTCAGCATAATGGCTATGTTGCTGGACTCCCAGGTAGTCGACCGTGGTTTGCGGCCTGGACCTAGTGGCTTAAAACTCAACGCCAGGCGTGTGTGCGTGCGTGCCCAAGATCCCGAGAGAATGGGGGAGAAGGGATTGCAGCGTGACCATCCCCCCTAGGGGATGATTTCTCACTTTCTATCTCTCTGTCTCTCTCTGTCTGTCTGGTGAGTGCACGCGCCCTACAGCGAAAATCTCTCCAAAAAAAAAAAAAAAAGCCCTGCCTTAAGAGAGAGTGTGAATATGAGAAAGTCCTCAAGAAGTTCATAGAAAATGCTTATTATGAAAAAAATATGTATGTATGGATTGCTAAATTTTTTTTTTTTTTTGGAGAGATTTTCACTGTAGGGCGCGTGCACTCACCAGACAGACAGAGAGAGACATAGAGACAGAAAGCGAGAAATCACCCCCCAGGGGGGATGGTCATGCCGCAATCCCTTCTCCTCCATTCTCCTCTCGGGATCTTGGGCACGCACGCACACGCGCCCGGCGTGAGTTTTAAGCCACCGGGTCCAGGACACGAACCGCGGTCGACTACATGGGAGTCCAGCGACATAGCCATTACGCTAACTGCTGGTTCCAGGATTGCTAAATATTCTGTACTAAAATGAACTCATACTTGAATTCCATTTTCCACAAACTCTTCGAAGTCCCCTCTACTGCCCATTAATCATGGACTGCTCGTACCACATACTAGTCCTGCCTCAGATGGGTGCCACGCCACAATGCCACCATGAGGTGCAGGCATCCTCTGTCCCCACCCTAGCTAAGTGCTCTTCTCAGTGTGACTAAGTCATATTTTACTGTGCATGGAAGGGTCACAATTCGCAAAACCATTTCACAGCTATACTTCTCATGTGACCCAATTAGTAACTTTACGAGACAGACAGGAAGGGAGAAGAGGCCTGTTTCATAGAAGAGAAAGCAGAAGCCAGAAGAGCTCATCGTGAAAATAAAATGCCCTTCCACCTTCTACCTGTATAGTGCCTCAGAGTTTATGAAACGTGTTTGTTTTCTCTCACAATCCTTACACTGACTCTGTGAGGTAAACTTATTCCAGTTTTACTGATGGGTAAACTGAAGTTCCGTGAGATGAAGAGAAATGTCCCCAGTCACACAGATGGCACATGGATGAGCCCAAACCCGAGGCCTGGATTCAAAGTCCAGTGGTCTGTTCCACCCACTTTGCCACCTGGGACTTACGCGGTCAAACATCCGGTTCAG